TATAAGGTACTTTTTTAGTCCATAAAGTTTAGAGTTTGAAAAAAAAAAGGAATTCTGGATGTTGAAGACTGTCTTGGATTTAAGATAGGGAAAACTCTCGAATTAAGATTTCTGGTTCAGTTGGTAAATTTGAAATTTTTTCTCTATTGCAAAATTTCTTGCCTTGAAGTGGTAGAAATAACATAGGAGTTAAAACAATTTAAAGGCCAGCTTTGTTTTAGCTAATCTGAGAAGTGAAAAAAATCTCTGTATATTTTTCATTTGCATTTCTATTGATGAGTCGGGTCGTGTGTCTTCTTATATGTTTCTTTAAGAGCTGGTTGTATTTGCTTTCCTCTGAACTATCACCCTATTCCCATTTTATTAATGTTTATCATATGTTATAGTTCAAAGCACCTGTAGAGATTGGGAGATTAGCTGTTTGTAACAAGAAGAGCAAATATTCATTCCCAGTGTGTTCGTGTGCTCCGCTGCTTTGCCCAAGGTGAAACTGGTCTATATTTAATTCAGAAGCTTTTTGTGGGGGCTCCAGCCTTCCTATTTTCTGTCTTTGTTCTGAAGTGCTGTGTCCTGCATCACGAATTTCTTTTTTCCATGTGTACTACAGATTACTCAGTGCATAAGTTTATTCATATATCCCATATCTTAAAAAAACAATCATCGTCCCTTTTCTCACCTTGCTCTTATTTCTGTGCTCTTTCTTTCACAGAGAAGTTTTTGAAGGAAGAGTTTGTATCCACATCATCAATGGTTCCTTTCATAACCCTGCCCCATCGTGTACCCAGTCCTACGAGTTCATTTATTGTTACCCCAACGTCATCTGACTTCATCTGTCCTGTAGAGTTTGACATCCCAGTTTCTATTTGTTGAAATCGTTGTCTGCTTTGACGGTTTTCATTATGTCCTCCCCTTTGTTGTTCTTTAACTACCCTCTGTCCCCATCTTATTCTCTGTCCTCATTATACGTGTTCAGCATTTGACTACCTGTGAGTCAGAGACTCCTAAATCTATGTCTACAACCCAGATCCCTGGCTTCCAGCCTTAAGATATACATATCTAAACGTTATAATCCATGACTCCCGTGATTAAAATTCAATTTCACATTTACTCTATTTGCTATAAGTGAATGGCATGATCATCCTGCTAGTTTCTCAAGCTAGGACACAGGACTAACTCCTGTTAGTAGTTACTATTCAGACATTCTCTTTGGCATAATTGTCATTGTTTTACCTCCTAAACATTCCCACTTTTGACTAGCAGTACAAGTCTTAGCAGGTGTAGTTCAATAATCACCTAATTAGTCTACGGCCTCCAGTGCACCTTGCCCCATCACCTTCATTAAAAAAAGTCAGAATGACCATGTGACCCACTCTGCCTACATTTTTTTTCAGTGTTTCTCCAAACCTCCCACTTTTTGGGTTAACTCATGAAGCTGTTCACACTCTTTGCCTCACAAGTGTCTTTAGCTTCATTCTACAGTGAACAGAAACTGAGCTAGGTTTGGATCATAAGCTTTGGAATTAGTCACATTTGACTGGGGTCACTGCCTTTCTTCTTATTAGCTTTGCCACCTTGGGAAAGTTACTTAGCCTTCCTAAGATTCATTCATTCATTCTTTCTTTCTTTCTTTCTTTCTTTCTTTCTTTCTTTCTTTCTTTCTTTCTTCTTTCTTTTCCTATAGCTCCAGCTGGTCTGGAACTCACTATGCAGACCAGGCTGACCTCCTAGATCTCACAGAGATTCACCTGCCTCTGTCTCAAGAGTCCTGGGATTGAAGGCATGTGTCACTACACTGGGTTTAGTTTTTTCTTTTAAAAAATGAAAGTAAAAATATAGGATTTCAGTCTCAGAGTTGAAAAATAAGTTATCTTTACAAAGCAATAAGCAAAACGCTGTGTCAATCACAAAGTAAATCCTCAGTAACCATGTACATGGAAGATGTGAACGGCAATTCTGTGTCGTGCTCTGTCACATTTCCAGGCATAATAATTCTGGTCTAGCCATTGTACATAGCCAGAAGGTGCATGTGATGGTCTCATGCCTCCATTCTCCTGCCTTGATCACTTTTCTTTGTCTCTCCTCCTTTCTCTACCCTCTCGTTCACTTCTCTTCCTCCAATGACTGATCAAAGTACGTGACACTTTTGCATCTTCATTTACTGATTTGTAAAACAAGTTCTGTAATGGCACACCTCATGGAGTTATGATAAAATTAAATTGGAAAATAAGCAGAATGCTAGCTGTTGGCAACCCCTTCTAAGTTCTCCTCTGTATTCTTAATACTTTAACATTATGATCAAAATTTTGCTCCAAGCATTTCTGTCATGAAAACATTGTTTCTGTCAAGGTCTGTGCTGACAGTGAGTCTTCTTTAAAAGAATATAAATCTAGTGGAGAAAGCAGCTAAGGGAATTATTGTTCCTGCAAGTGTGCTAGTTCAGAAGTGAGACATTCAGAAGACAGGAGAGTATTGCTAAGTCTGGAAACATGTCTGGTTCAGAGTAGGTGATCAATAAACATTTGTGGAAGAAATATTCTTATGTTCAATACCATAAAAATATATGTCAAAAATGGAATACATGAAAAGTACATGTCCATATTTGAAAAACCAACAAAATTTCTGTGACTTTAAGATATGCTGGTTGTATAAGCCAGGGTTCTCCAAAGAAACAGAACTGGTATATTGAATATATATGTATAGAGATTTATCAGCTTAGCTGACAGGATAGAGCCCAAGTAGTCCAACAATGGCTGCACCACACTGGAGAGGCTGAGAATCCATAGTCACTCAGTCCACAAGGCTGGATATCTCAGTAGTCCCAATCTGGCACTGAAGGTCTGATGAATTCCAAAAGATCAGCTAGTCTTCAGTCTATAGCAGTAAGACGAACTCACCAGCGAGAGAGAAGGCAAGCAGCAAGAAGCC